AGCCTGCTCCTCCAGATGAATCTGTAGAACTAAGTACAGACTTGTTCGACGGCTCGTCTGAAATGTTCCTCATAGCCTTGGCTTCCTTATGTGGAATGCTAGGATTTGCCGTCATTGCTGGCATTACTTATCACTATCTGATTTTCATTCCACACCAAAGGAGAGGTAGGACGAATAACATTTTTTTGTCTTGAGTGAATATTTGGCAAGATTCAGTACAGATGAAATTTAAGAATTAAATGTATTTCTAGGCAATAGCAGCGGTTTGAAATTTGGCTGCTATGGGAATTCTTACCCATTATAACCCTTTAACTCCTAGAAGTGATGAACTTGTAACTTCTTCCTATGATATCCTTACATTATTTAGCAAACAGGTAATGAGAATACTCAAACTTATCAGGAATAAGTTCACCTGATCTAACACCAAATTCTTACTACCAATTTACAAGCAAACCAAAAGCAGTTAGAGGGGAGAATTAACGATCAGATTCTACGAGTTAAAGGGCAAATAAAAGTGTCACAATTACAATTCTTCATTTTCTGACTGCATCTCCTTTGCAGGAATAGAGATGACAGAAAGACGTTACCATCAAACAGTTCCAGCCCACTTCTTAAGCGATTTTTTTGGGGGGTGGGGTGGGGCAAGCCTTGATGGTCATGGATGACAGCGAATTTTTTTTTTCCTAAATCATTGTAGGACCAAACTTGTATTTTTGGGCTCATTGATAATCGTAAATAAATGCTCCCTATCTTTCTGTCCTTTCTTTTTCAGCTGAAAAACTAAAAGCATCTTCATCTCAACTTGCTCACAAAAAAGCCATGGTTGCAGAAATGAGAGATTCCGTCCGCATTTTTCACTTACAGATGTCCACTCGAATAACTGCAGAAGTCCAAAAATGCAAAAAAGCACTAAAAGAGATTAGAGAGGATAGAAATAATTCTAAACAAGGCGGTGCTTTTTTCTTAAAAAATATTGTAACTAATCCAATCTACTCAGATTCGTCTCAGGGATTTTATTCAGTTGTGGGACAGCGACCTTTGGCATCTAAGTCAGCGGAGAGTATTGTAGAGCATGGAAAACATAGTCCTTATGCAAACACCGCTGCCTTAAACTCTTCGGGAGAGACCTTGAACCTTGATGGTGACCGCGATAAGTGTCACGCATTCAACCTACGCAGTGATGTAGCGTTATATTAGTGTCACGTTTTCAATCTGCGTAGCGAAGTATAGCGTTATATTAGATTGATTGATGGATAAGATACTGCTAAATGTTACTATGGTAATTTTACAGGCTTAACAGGATACCCATAGCGGTGTTCATTAGCAATTAGGCATTCGATTTGATCTCGATATTCTACCATGAGACGACAAAAATAAATGGTTTAGATTCATTGAGGCTGTTTAAGTAGCTCGAAGAGCGTTTGCTTTGAATCAATTAAAAACACAATTTTCTTATTTCTGCCTGATATATTTCCCTTTATAATTATTATCATAAGTAGGGTGACTATGTAATGTAATTAACAAAGGTTAATAGACTTAATAGTATAGAATCATTAACGCTGTTTAACCAGTTTTAAGAGCATTTGATTTGAAATATACAAGGTTTGCATTTATCTGTGTAACATAATCCATTGGTAATCAAACAATGAGGCATACTGTTTAGTTTTGAACTTTTGATATAGGACGAATACGGTTAATGATATAGATTCATTAGAGTTGATTAAGTGGCTCCCATGACATTTGCTTTATGTGGATTAATAAAGGCTTGGTTGCTGTTAAGAAAATCAAAACGTGACGAATAGTACGCCCTCATTTTAACGCAAAATGACATGTTATCTCTAATATCATTAATTTACTTTAATGTAGCCCTATAATTATTTTCTGGTCCTAACAAGACGAATGTCCATATTTTACATCGTCGTCATAAATGACCACGTAAGGTAAGGTCTGAGAACAACAGTTTTCCTGATACTTTGAATAAACTCAAGATGAAGGCGGGAAGGGTTTTTGCAAGTCCTGCGGTGAACCCTCCTCCAGCCTCATACTTCCACCATTTGAGACAAGTTGGACAATCTGCCTATGCTTGTGTCTAACTGGTCCAATTCGAAAGTGTTGAGCAGCTACTCATGATACTTCTCTCTGTGTCTCTTTTGGAACTGTCTGCAGACCTACCAGCTCGAACTGTGTATTTTGGTCGTGCTTTTTCATTTAAAATTTCCTGCTGTAGCTCCGTCATGGTGAAAGAAATCTTTTTGGAAATTTCCACGTAGAAAGAATCCACGAACACATTAATTTCCCCATCAAGAGCCTTCCGATAACTGCAGCTCAGTAGTCCTTTTCTAATTTACTAAAAGAAAAAATAAACTGCTGGAAAAAAAAAAAAAAAGAAAAGAAAAGAGAAAGTTCGTGCCCACGCTTTTCCTCAATACATTAGAGAGATTGAACACCGCGTTTAAGTGAAACCGCAAACGTCAGCTTGCCTTTCCACGCCTCAAGTAAAATAGCGTGAGCCTTGTTGCTTTACCTTCGCGTGAGCGCTCGTCATGAAGGATTTCAAGGCATCCTTGTATGACTTACAATGAACAGTTTTGGTGCCCTTTTTCGGGGAATTAAATCCTACTTAGTGCGAGAAAACAAATGAAGAAAATCTTACGTATGCGGCAAACGCGAAAGAGATTACTTTCAGGCAGAAATGGCAAAGTGCAGCCGACAAGCGTGAAAAAATGGCGGGGAAAACAAGGTGACGTGGTCACTCTTACCCTTCGCATTTCATGTAAACGCGGCGCTAAATAACTGTACTGTCTAACGAATTGATCTTAAGTCGAGAATAAAACTAAAATAAAACCAAAAGTAATAAATATAAAGGAAAAAACAAAAACCAAAATATTTCGAAATAAGGACTTTTCCTCTTAGTTTCACACATTGAAACCTATCTCAAGCTTATTTGGATTGAGTACGTCACTCTACGCGTCGTGTTCGGACTAAATAAGTCTGATCGGTCCTAACAGCGGAGAAACGCGAGCTTCTACACATATGATTGACTTAGAAGGGTAGGCCGCCCCACGGTTTCAAAAGCAATTGCAGAGCACACACCAACCAAAACAAACCAATAATGTTTCAGAATAGTTTTGGCACTCCAGTAAAAATTTCCCTAACAGCAGCATATCCCAGCCTTTACTCTAATCAAATTTAGTGGGGACGAAAGGTTGAGGAACTCGACAAATCTCTTTTTTACAAGCCATTGTTCAATTTTTTTTTTTTTTTGACCCAGTCGGTCCCAACAGTATTATCACCGAATCAAATGGAAATGTCATGAGAATAATCCTCCACTTACAGTGCTGGATTAGACGCACCTTTGCTCCATAGAGAGTGACAGGTTTATACACAGTAACAAATGTCAGTGACGAAGCAATCGCACCAATCAGAATGGAGACAGCAATAAGTCCCGTGAGAATCCATATGATACGAAAAATACGGGCAGGTATAGAACGGGGCGATTGGTCTCCGTATCTGCAAGGAGTAACCCAAATTTATAAAAACATTAACCTAAATCTCGATATTTAAAAGAAGTGCTTTAGAGTTATAAACCTAGTGACGTAAATGTGCCTGAGATTAGCGATATCAAGAAATGATTTACAACATCAAATCACTTGTTGTCAGATAACCGATCGATTTAGGAATAATAACTAAATCTTGTCATATAAGACTTTATTCATGCGGTTAAGAGTTCGATATACAACTTGGTATCAAATCATTTTGCAAATGATTGGCTAAGGTCAACTTACCCAACAGTTGTCATTGAAATGAAAGAAAACCAAAATCCCTCACCAACACTTAAAAGCAGATGCATGGAAATTCTCCAGGGTAGCATCGAGACAAGAGATACATTAACATAGTCAGAGAGATAAGTCACTAACATAGTCAGAGAGATATGTCGTACTAAGAA